ACCAGGAAGGTCCTTCAGGGCGTGCCAGGCTTTTTGAGAACGGTCTCTGAGTACCAGAAAAGGGGGTCCCTAGTTCGATTCCTCGTGGTGACAAATTTTTGCATTTCGAGTTGACGTAATTATGAATATGGTTACTAATTATTCATGCTAACTCCATTTTGCGCGAATTTTGGAACGTCAACTCGAAATGCAAAAATTTGTCACCACGAGGAATCGAACTAGGGACCCCTTTTCTGGTATTCAGAGGGCCGTTCAGGAAAAATGAACCATGGTTCTGTGGTTCCCGCATGTGCCCCTATATCATGCAAAAGACCGTTTTGAAAAAGCTTGGCACACCCTGAAAGACCTTCCTGGTTAGCTGCGGAACGCCCTGAAAGTGGGAAGAAAAGCAAGAGAAATCTTTGGGAACGCTGAAACTAAGGCCTTAACCTTCAACAAGGTCGGATGTGGTACGATGGCGAGAGGGCGGTCAAAGAAGACAAAATACGCGAGAGAGCACGTCGTTTGAGAGAGCACGCTGATCTCACCACCTCTCGCGGTGGGTGGGAAGCGTTGGAAAGGGGTCGATGGTTGCAGGCCCGTAAGGATTAGCGCCCTAACCGCGCAATTTTTGCGACGAAGCTGGAGTGATCTAGGTAGGTACAGACCTTACAATTTCCCTCGTGGTATCCCTCCTACTAGTCGGGCCAATCCCGGGTTTGCCTTTCAAGCCCAGGCTTTCGTTAGAATGAAAGAGTCCAGATAATCAATAAAACAAAAAAATCAAAACGTTCGGATAAGTGGCGCAGAAAAGAAGCTATCGGTGCACATTGAAGCATGTTTATAGTTGTTGGCATGCTTTTTTTTATTGACCGCTACTTTTCTGAAGGCTCAGCTGTTTTCACTAGTAAATGAGTCCGACGTTCAATGAACCTTGGGGTAGACTAGTATTTATCCTATGCTTGTTTAGTGACCACTGTCAAGTAATATTTGAATAGCTTTATTCGGCTAGCGTTTTGGCTGGTAGCTTTCATCAGAGCTTCTGAAGTCAAAGATCAGTGCTGCCTACCCCCCCCCCCCAGACCTTGGCTGACCCGTCGCGCAGCAGATCCCTCCTTCTTGAAAGCGAATTTCGTAATCAGATTGTAAGATTTTGCGCTTGAGCGTGATACTGAACATCAGAAGTGTGAAGCCAATAATGATAAAATGGGAAGTACTTGTCGACAAGACAAAAATTAAACCTCCCTTCCAGTAGCAGCGGAATAAAATAGCACTTTGCGGGCGGCCATAGTGCTGGCCGGAGCCTACGGTGCACCCTTTAGTCTTAGCGAGCCAACCTTATTAAGTCGTGGTGCGAAATGAGTAAATGCTTTGCGCTTACGTATCACTCCATGTTTTCCACGCAAAGGCTTCAATTTGCTTGGGAATCCCGAATTTTCCCTAAGGCTTATGAGGCTTGTCGGAGCTCGAAATTTCGAGCAAGCTTGACTATTCCTTATTCTAAACGCTGCGGTACTATGTATGAACTTAGCCGGTCGACGACTGAGAGAAGCGAGGTCCCAACTTAACCCAGGGTCATTCCTATGTTGCGACAAGTACCAACGGGGGGGGGGTTGTATTTTGTTGAGTTTGTAGGTGGGGGGTCGTATTCGATGTAATCTTAGAATTCATGGGTGAGTTTAGGGCGCGTAGTGTGAAGGAGCAGGAAGGAACGGGAAAAATTTTGCCATTTCACTGTACTTATATATACATCGCTCGACGGCTGTTTGGAGGGAAAAGTGGGTGGAGTTAGGTGTGTCGACTGGTCTCAGAATTGAATACTATAGAAACAGCGACCATGATGGCGAGGGTGGTGAAGGGGGGGGTTGTAAAAAATTTCCAAAAAAGTCGCAACGGTAGGACCGACCCTGCCTCAAAGAAGCGATCACGCTGGCTTCCACGTGGATCGCCGAACTCCGCGTTATCAACCGATAAGGTCGGAGATAGATAGTGGTTGGACGAGCATAACCCTATACGATACGATTAGATAAGAAGATACGGCTGCTTGGAATGAGGTGCACTCCAGCATGAAAATCGAACGATAACGATAACCGTATCATATCTAGCACGCTGCTATGCATCCCCTTCCACGTCTGATAAGGAGGTGTAACGCCGAACCGGAAGTGGTTTCGGCGCCTTATCACGCCGTTGATAAGGCGCCACTGCCCCTGAAGCGTCACCTGTCGTCCCATTGGGTAGGACCCCTACCCAATCCACTATGTCACTTTCCCTATCGTCTCCATGGGAATTTCCTTGACCACTTCCTTTAACCCTACTATCGGCAGATAGGTGGCTAGATTGCTCAGATGGAATGAGTGCTGGTTTTTTATATGCGCTCGTAGATTTTTTAGATGATACGCCTGAACAGCTTAAATATAAAGACATCAATGGGGGTATGCGAGGGTACGATGTGGCCGTGATGATGAAAAGGGATGAGGAAAAGAGGGACCCATTCAATATTTGCCTAGCTCCCTCCGTCATTCCTTCACCTAGTTTCCTCCGAGATACTTAGGATTTGAACACGTGTTTCTTCTCCGATCATTTTGGTCCTGGAAACGAAATATATTATACAATGAAACCTTAAATCGTGAGAGGTTCTAACAACACAAGCCAAGTTTATTTCTGCGCCTGTCTTCTTCCTCAGGTTATAACAGCAAAGTAGGAATGGCTGACCGAGAACGCTTCAGGATTTTCGTCGTTCATCTGATCGTTATTCCATGGATCTACAGCATGGGTTTTGAAGATGCATGCCTTCAAACTGAAAACATGACTACTTATCCTAAGCTCCTTGATTACTTGAATTTCGCAGTGGATTATAAGGTACGTTTACATCAAAACACACCTATAAACATACACGCTACAGTATTTCTCGTGATGGAAGTTCTCCGTTCGTGCAGTTGACGGGACTTTGACTGATTTTGCATTGATTGAGGTTGAGCTTTGGAACGTGTTACTGAAGTTTTGCCGAAAGTGCGAGGATGTTCCAATTCACGAATTGAATTCAGACTTCTTTTCACCACTTTGTAACCAATTAGTAGTTGATCGCTATAACGAGAAACGAACTATATAGCATATGTAGGCTGCCTACTCCAAGCTGACACACTTGCCTATCGCTACCTGTGCCGAGCAATGTAGGTCGATAGAGCTGGGCATGGCACTGACCAGGAAGGTCTTTCAGGGCGTGCCAAGCTTTTTGAAAACGGTCTTTTGCATGATATAGGGGCACATGCGGGAACCACAGAACCATGGTTAATTTTTCCTGAACGGCCCTCTGAATACCAGAAAAAGGGGTCCCTAGTTCGATTCCTCGTGGTGACAAATTTTTGCATTTCGAGTTGACGTTCCAAAATTCGCGCAAAATGGAGTTAGCATGAATAATTAGTACCATATTCATGATTAGGACCGTCAGTAACCCTTACAAAAAGACTTTGACTTAAAAATTGGTGTAAAGGTGTGACACCAAGCAGCCCCACTGTGGTGTCACACCTTTTTCACCAGTTTTTTAATCAAAGTCTATTTGTAAGGGTTACTGACGGTCCTAATCATGAATATGGTACTAATTATTCATGCTAACTCCATTTTGCGCGAATTTTGAAACGTCAACTCGAAATGCAAAAATTTGTCACCACGAGGAATCGAACTAGGGACCCCTTTTCTGGTATTCAGAGGGCCGTTCAGGAAAAATTAACCATGGTTCTGTGGTTCCCGCATGTGCCCCTATATCATGCAAAAGACCGTTTTCAAAAAGCTTGGCACGCCCTGAAAGACCTTCCTGGTGAGCCTCAGCCACGCGATACTGCCTTTTTGTCTCCAAATCACCTTCATTTTCCTCACGCCCAATTTCAAATATTAGGTTGTCGGGAAAGTCTCTACGTCTTTGTTAACTTTTTCTCAAAATTAATCGTTTGGAAGAGCCAAGCAAAAAACAAACGCCTACACAACCGCTATCGTCGAAACAAGCTTCAGCAGGTAACTTGTGGATGCCGTTCATTCAATGATCCCGCGTGTCTGAGGCGAAAAGCACGAAGAGGCTCTCTCCGAGTAGGTCTGAATTATCGGTACCCCTGCTTTGCTTGTTTCGACGGTAACAGACCTTGTGGTAGTTTGCCTGTGCCAGGTTTGCTGAATGCACCACGTCAGTTCTTCCCATAAGGAGCCTGGAGACTTTTGCTGGACCCTCTTAGGAAAATGTGGCGAGTGTTGCCGGAAAAAAAGTATTCTTTACCAGATTTTCCAAGGCCCATGCCGGCGAACCGATCCACTTGCTAACATTATTGTTCACCAATAGCAGTGGACTTCGTTGGCAGCAGCTCTCCGTGAGCGAAACATTTGCAGCCTCATGAGCTTTCAAAGTTGCCTCCCAGGTTACTGTTCTGGAATCGGCGTTGCAATCCTTTGTTCTACGCATCCGAGCCAGTCGTGCTTTCGCGTGCGGTTTACGTGAAGAACTTACTTTTTGTTGCCACCAGCAAAGTTGTCAGGTCAAAAGAGAGACAGGCGCTGAGCTATAATGTTCATCCGAAATTTCATCGTCTAGATGGTCGTTGGTGGGTATCAGACCACGAAATATCCTTTCGCCCTTATTTCTCTTCTTTTCGAGACGATATTGACGAACGGCTAAAGTGCTCAGGTAACACTGAAAAGCTCTGCTAGCTCCCGTCCACCGCGCCCAAAACCCTTTCCAATCTGCTTCATAATACATTACTCGTTTTGTGTGTTTGAGGTTTTTTCTCAGGCATCTAGACATCGGTTACCGAACATTTGCCACGTTGTAAAAGATAGTCTGGAGGTCCATCACTACACGTAGAGCTCCTACTGCGTCGCTTCAATCGACGCACTTTGTGGGCTTATAAAGGCAGGAGCAGTCGAACATACCTTCAGTGAAAGGCGATTTTTAAGCTTCAAACGCTGCGAAATGCTACGACAGAAATGCTGTGGAGAGAGCATTAACCACCGCTCACATGCGTTTTACAGTGAATGTTTCAAAACGATCTCCACAAGGTTTTGCAAGAAGAATAGAAAAGTTCGCAGACTTTTCCGACAACTAATAGTATCGCCCGACTTTTAATGCACGATTCCAAGATACGATAATTGTACAATACGTCTGAAAGTAAAAAAGACACCTCTTCTGTCTCACTGACAGAATTTCTGCCTCAGTGCACTCCTTTTTGTCAAGTAAGAGTGCAAGAACTTCAACGACGTCAAAATTTGGGTGTCACACACCCTCAAATTGCAGCCAGCCGAATGAGTTCTTCATGGGAATTCCTAATTGAAAACCTAATTGTAGAATATCTCAACGATGTAGACTGGCACGCATCTTTCAATAATGTCGACTCTGTCAATGACAAATATGAAATGTTTTTGACTATTCTCAATCATGCGATTGAGTTATTTATTCCTCTCAAGACGCAAAAGACTAGTGGAGATCCGCTACCACAGTACTTAATCAGGTGTAATCACAGAAAGAATTTAGCATGGAACAAGGCTAGCGGGAATTCTGAAGATTGGCACGAGTATAAGAAGATTAGCTCCATTTTTGAGAGAAAATTATACAAATTTCGTAGTCATATTGAAAAGAAGCGTTATTAGTTCCAAGAATAAGAATGCGTTTTATAGATTTCTCAACTCCAGACTGAAGAAAAGCAAAGGTGTATGTGTTTTGTTCTCAGAGGACGGGAAAGCCGCGCGTCAGGATAGGGAGAAAGCCGAGCTTCTGGCCGACATATTTGAGAAAGCGTATCAAAAGGGGGTTGATCTCGCCGAAGTGGAGACTAGTCCCTCATTTCCTGTTATGAGCGATTCCCTTTGGTTTCAACGAGAAGAAATACACAAGTTACTGGCTAGGTGGCCTAAATCTCGTTCGGATACACCTGATCATATTCCGCTGGTGTTTCATCAAAAAAATAGCATTCACCATTTCGGGACCACTGGCGTTTATCTTCAACTTGAGCTTCATGAAGGCTGAAGTACCAGAGCGATGGCGTATGTCGTTTGTCACCCCCATTCCCAAAAAGGCTCCACATTCTTGCCCCTCAAATTACAGACCTGTGAGCATAACCTCCATCTTTGCTAGGTTGTTGAGAAGGGTTTGAAAAAGAGAATTGTAAGCCATTTGGAGAAGTATGATGTCATTTCCGAGCAGCAGCATGGCTTCCAAAAAGGTAAGTCTACAGCGACAGCCATGCTACAAGCGCTCAATGACTGGACATATTACCTCGATGAGGGGCTAGGAGCGGATGTAGTTTATTTGGACTTCGCTAAGGCGTTCGATAGGGTTTCTCATGCCAGGATGGTAGCCAAACTGATCCATGTAGGCATTCACCCCAGGATTGTGGCGTGGATTAAGGCCTTTCTTACTGATAGGTCTTACTCTGTTCGAGTCAATGGCGAATTTTCCAAACCCAGACCAGTGCATAGCGGAGTGCCACAAGGGTGTGTCCTATCACCTGTCCTCTTTAATATCTACACCTTTGAGTTACCTCGTTTGGTCAGTTCTAAAGGGGTTAAATGTGTGGCCTTCGCAGATGACTTCAAATTATACCACCCGATTTCATCCGCTCATGATAAAGAGTTGCTACAGGGAGCTATAAATGATGTCAGTAATTGGGCTATGCAATGGGAATTGCCCTTATCTAAGGAGAAGACCAAGGTGTTACGGATTGGGAAAATCCCTGTGGATTGTTCATACTCAATCGGAGGGGTTCACTTGGAGGTGGTGAAGGAAATGAAAGACCTTGGTTTCCTCTTAAGAAGTGATCTCAGTTTTGAAGAACATTGCTCTGTAATCGCCTCCAAAGCAACGATTGTAATGTATAATTTATTTCGATCTTTCTTGACGAAAGACCCACGTGTTCTATGCAGTGCTTATAAAATATATATCAGGCCCATACTAGAGTATGGACTGTAGTTTTAACCCTCACAAGATAAAAACTGCGAAAGCTCTGGAAAAAGTTCAAAATAGTTTCACGAGAAAGGTTTTTATGAGAACTGTTGGGTTCAGATATGACAATATACCGAACAGTGACGTACGTAATCTCAACCTCGGTCTTGAGTCACTTGCGCTTAGGAGGAAAAAATTCGACCTCTTGACATTTTTTAAGATCCTTCATTTTAAAACTGGTCTCAGGCCCAACACCTTGTTTGCATTCCGGGAGTCAAGGACGAGGGGTAGTTCAATGAAAGTAGTGACTCGCAGGGCTAAACGCAACGTCAGGCACCATTTCTTCGTTAACAGGACCTCTCTGGAGTTCGAGAGGCTGGTCAGAATGGGGGTATACCAACAAATTCAACTCATTCAAAGCCGCTTTAAACAAGCATCTTACATCATAGTCTTTGCTTCTCGTTCATACGCTGTGTCACGATGTTCTCCACTGTTTATGTTGGTTCGCACGTTGTTTCTGCTACGGTTGTTTTTTGTATGTTCTCGTTTTTTTGCAATCACACAGAATTATCTGCGTAATAAACAAATACAAATACAAATGGGAAGCGTCCCTCCTTCCCGGAGAGGATGAATGAATCCATGCTTTGAAACATGCATTTTGCAAAGATCTGCTTTGATACTACCAAATCAATATAAAGTAATAAAAATCAAAACGACATTCCAAACTAGCCAGAATACAGCCATATGTGGCTTGAAAATTGAACATTTTACTGTAAGTTAGACATTTTTGTGGGATTTCTGTTCAATACTAGTGATTCAGATAGATCCATGTGAAGATTTCTACCGATTTGCATGTGGAAAATGGGCAGTCAATACACCTGAGATACCATTGAGTCATGAACAAATATCACCATTAACCAAATTAAACGATAAGTATGAACGGGCTCAACGAGGTTAGTACTGTAGCAGAGCATTCAAAATTTCGGAAGGCATCGTCGCTTTTCTCCAAGGAACGTTCGCGAAGTTCACAGCAGTAGTGCTGTGGCAAAAGCGGAACGAAACTAGTGACGCTATCGCGTTGACTAATTTTTATTTCTCAGTTAGTCCTGCATGCTATTACGCACATCGCACGATTGCTTTCGATGAAGCCTGTCAAACCATAGGACATTAAATCGTCTAGCACATTGTTCATTCAATTTGTATATACTTTTATTTATTCACTTCGTATATTCTTTTATTTCTTGTTTCTCCATTGGAATAGTTGTGATCTGCGAAAAAGTATAAGCATCCGTTGAGTCAGCCGACCTTACATGCAGAAGCGCTGTCAGATGTAGCGACCGGGTGATTACCGTAGCGTTCCAGAAAGATGAAAGCTTCATAAATAGAATAATTGAAATGGTTGGTTTCGCTCCTCCCTCACACGAACCTGATTATTGCTTCATCAATCCCCAGTGGTCGTCAGTGAGTTGAGATTGGCGAAATGAAAACACAGTAGTATGACGGAGTCATGCAGAGCACAAATTAAATGTGTATAGACTTAAGTGAAGAATCCTTCCTATTTTATAAACCGCTAACTTTGGTGTGTCGGTTTTTTGTGTGTCTGTATGTGTGTGTGTATGTATGTATGTATGTATGTATGTGTGTGTCCGTCCGCAAAATGAAGTGAGTGAGAAGGAAGCTCATGGGATAAACAACCGCTAACAAATCGGGTAGCTTACAGGATTTGAGATATCAATGTTTTGTAGCAGGATAGTTGTGATAACACTCTTAGGGCTATATAAACACCTGCTTAGCACACTTCCGTTCATTCCACATGGTGCTGCAGTGGCAGCTGGAGGGCAGTGGAGAGAGGAAGGGAGGATGAGGAAGGGAAGCGAAAAATCTACCGTCATATCATGATTGTGTCCCTTCTACTGTATGAAACACCATTGTGTTGCATACGCGTCACTTCCAGGAGGTGTTGGTGTCACAGGAGGAAGGGACCATAGCGGAGGATAGAAAGCTTGCGCAGGAAAGGAAGGTCCCGGCGGTTGACGGGGGACTAATCTGGTTAGAACATAAATGGATTGAAATATTCATAAACCAGTTTAGCTCCGCACGCATTCGCGCGCATCATATGGTGGGCTTCAGTGAAACTGGACTGTTAGGTCACATGGCTGAGAAATATTATTGAGCTGCTTTGAAAAATGCTCCTGATAAAATGCAAAGGCTGCAAATTCCGCTGAAGACTATCGCGTAGTGCACGCGTAGCATGCGGAATGAAAATGGCTTATCACGACTTCGTAAACATTCAGCATTAATATCGAGTTTGGATGATTTAGCGGTCTATAGAATTAATACTGTGAGTATCGCTGAAAGAGTGAGATATGACCATTCAATCTGCAACTAACCCAGCTCTGATGATAACTTGTCATTGGTCCTGGTCCAGATAGTTGAGCGTTTCAACTTTCTTTGCACCATTTGCACCATTTGGTGAAAGGATAGAAATGAAGCATATTCACGTGCTAAGAACCTGGCTTAGCCTTGCCGCTATGATCGCTTGGCAGTGTTAATTGCAACAAAGTTGTAGCGTTTGCATTCAGACGCCCCTTACTCCTTGTCATTTGTTACCGTTCATACCGATAGCACCGTTGTCCCCGTCCAACCCCCTATGAAACATGTAGAAGCGAAGGTTTTACTGTCACCACGAAGACTACAACGAATTTGATAGTACTCAAATTCTGGACTTCGTTATCAGCCGTTATCGTTGTTATCACTTTTGATCACTCACTATCCGTGTTCCCGTAAGATCCCCCGTACCACATGTAAGAGCCAAGGTTCTAATGTCACTGCGAAGGCCGCAACGAAACTGGTGGTATCCACACTTTGACGCCCCTTATCAGTTCTTATCAGTTGCTACCACTTTCTTTCACCCACCTTCTTGGTCCCCGCCTCATCCCACATAATATGAATGGGTTCAAACATGTTACTGCCAATGCGAGGAGAGCAACAAAACTGGTGGCCTTTGCATTCCGGCGCACGTTGTCATCTCTTATCACTTGCTATCACCATTCTTCGCTCTCTATTCGGGTCCCCGTCACACAGCACATTACACTTATGAGTGGAAACTCTCCACTGTCAACGCGAACGGCGTAAGCGAAATTGGTGACATCAACATTTCGACGTCCGTTATCAGCTCTATCAGTAGTTATCACTTCCCGCCACCCCCCATCAGTGTTCGTGTCCAGCCCCCATATATCCTAGAAGTTTGAGCGCTCTGGGTCCAAAGGGACTGAAGTTATGAATTTCCGGTCAGACACACACACAACCGCTTAGCCGATTATATATAGTACGATAGGATAACACAATTAAAGTTGAAAAGGTGGAAGCGTTCATTAGGGCTCCACTGTTGATTAGGAAATGATTCAGTGACTAAGTACCCTTTCTGTAGTCCATAAACTTATTTGTTCAAATGCACTTATGGTTAGCTGCATTAGATATGATAAAGCAGTCATGATAACCACCACTTACAAGAGAGGCTTTTCAGGGCAAGCCATGCTTTTTCAAAACGGTTTTTTGTATACATGCTCTCGTAGCGATTGAATTTTGCATTTGTGTTGATGTTTACAGGTTGGTGCCAAATCGCGCTAAATATCAAAATCAGATGTCATATTCATCGTCAGGACCATTTTGAAGCCAACAAGTGGCCGCCAACCTTGATTGCAAAATTTAGTCGCCGCGGGGGATCGAACCACAAGGGTACCATTCACCACTTTTTTGGTACTACTAAAACCGTTCAGCGAAAATGAAACATGGTTTTGTGGTCCATACATGCGTCCCTACAATATGCAAGAAACCGTTTCCAAAAAGCGCGCTTGCCCTGAAAGACCCCTTTTGTTAATAACACTTTTCTGGATTCTGTTAGTTTATCAGTTTATCAGTTCGCCCAGCTGACCCGGGCTGTCGTCCTTCTTTGAGGATCTCCCCGCTACGTCAGGCGACTGCTTTTCCTGAAATACCCTCTTGAAGTAACAATCTCAGACCGCAAAAACACATGATCAATTCATTTTTTTGGAAATTGATCACCAAAATCCAAAATCGTCGACTATTACGCCGAAATCAATGTAAAAAGCGATGATAGTGCAGGTACGCATTACGAGATCAGGAAGCTAGGAATAAGCAGAGTGCTGATTGGTGATTGCAGCGACTCCAATCATATGAATTGACGTCATTACAAAAAGTAGGGTTTATTTACTATCACGAAATGTCAAAAGATAACCCGAGCATCTGGTTCAGCGTTTTGGGTGTGTAATGCGCGCTCCTGGAAGAAAACCCAAGAACATATAGAAATAATCGTGAACATTACGGCTATCAGACGAAAAAGACAGCTTGCGGAGTATTTTTCTTCGGAATTTCGGTCTTATAGTTATGAAGGATATGAATAATATAATGGTAATAAATATAAGGATATACCATACACATTAGTAATCGGGGTACGCAGTGACCAATCTCTTGAGGTGAGGAAGTGAGAAAACAATGTCATAGAAACTATAATAGATAGCACTTTCATTGATGCCTTCTAGCTAGTCGGGATTTGTATCTCGCTTAATTCTAGAGCTGCTGGCTTCAGAAGAAAGCTCAACATCTCAAGCAATTATGCGAGCCCGTAGTTTCTATCGCAGTTGCGTTAATGCTGAACAAGAGTGGCAGAGCAAGGGAATTTCAGGCATAAACTACGTCATGAGAAAAATTAGAGTAAGTTTCCCAGTGTTCGCTCTTCATATCAGTCAGCAAAAAATCCTGAAGCGTAGGGAGCATTTTTCTTATAATGTATGTTTCAAATATAGTACATATAATACACACATATATACAGGGGTGGCCAAAAAAGAGACACTTTGCCCATGGCGCACATCATCGAACTTTTCGTCGCACAGGGAGCCGATGTTAATGAAAGTTTTACGGCGAATATTCCTTAGGTGTTCCCCGTGAATGAAGGAGGCTTACACTAATCGCTCCGGCCTGAAGCTGCTACATAATTTCTTCAATGGATTAACTGTGAATAGCTTCCCAGAGACATTAGCTGTGACTATGCAAAACCGCTTTTGACCAGCGTTTCAGGGACGTCGTAATGGTCTATGGTACCTCGACGACCTCGTTGAGCTCGTACCGTGAACCATGTTTCCGTGGGAAAATCTTCTGATGTCGTCGGTGTAGAAGGCTGTCATGTAACTTTTGATAGAATAGAATGTGCTCTTTAATACTAAGTTGGTGGTAGTCGATTTGATTTTAGCAAAGTGTGATTGAATGGAAGACGTTGCTGTGTCATGCGCAAAATATGGCCAGAAGCCAATGCTGTGCCACAACCACGCGGAGGCAATTCGAACCACAATGGCATAAACCTTCCTCCGATGTAGGCATCTCCGATGAAAGGCACTCATCCTTTTGATAATGGTAGCAGTACTTTTCCATGTTTCACTTGCATATAGTGCAGTAGGAATCACGATGGAATAGTACAACCGCATTTTGATCTTCTGCGATATCGATGAACTGGCCCATATTGGCTGAAGTCGCCGAAATACGGCGGCAGCCTTTGCAATTCAATGCGTTCGTCCGTCTCGGAATCACTATTGTGAGGTATTGTGAGGTAAGTGAATTTGTCAAGGTCTCCAGAAATCAAATGATACTCAATAATCAAACTAAAATTTGAAAAAAAAACATGCCGAAATTGAAGAGCAGGAATTATAATGATGAAGAGATGAAAAGTTCCCATACTTTCACCGCACCATTTCTTGAAAAATCATATTTCTACGTTATGTTTTTTTTGATTTTTTACTTATGTGGCACATCGTAATTCACATCACATTTTATATACAGGGTGCGCCAAAATTACGGAGACAGCACTTCCGCGCACTATTTGAACCACTATTCAAAGATGCTGTTTACTGCTGCGCTCATTTTGGTTTTGTTGTGTTGACCTGTTCATAATTATCTTATTTGACCAATATGTATGATTGTTACGATGGCTGAGTGATTCTGCCGCCATTTCTAGATCACTGAACTTCAACTTTGAGAGTTTCGGCACGCAAGAATTATCAGCGTTTTGGTTTTTACCTGGGTACCAATCATGGATCCACTAAACGCTCCAAGGAGTAAGGAACCGAATGCACTCATTCTGGATGGGAAGGCTGTGTTTCCGAGACGGCCACGAGCAATGTCAGCATGGTGCGCAACAGAATTTGGTGGCACTTCGCGCACTCGTTCCGCCGAATGTCACGAGAGATGGACATTAAGGAGATTACTTGAGAATTCCCAAGCAAATTGCCATCTTAAGATTTAAAAAACATTGTTTGATCTTTCATAAGGAAGGGATTTCCATAGGGCAAGGGTGGTGCTGAACTGGGTCAGAGCCAATTTTGTCGAATTCATCACTTTCAACGAGTTGGTCAGCATTTCAGATTCTATATAAATGGCTTACACTGTAGAATTGATTCTGCAAGCTGAAACTTGCATGGAACTTTACATTTTTGGGGATTATTTGAAGAATTGCTTCAGAATACGTAGAACGGATTCTACGCACTACCTTGCGTGCCACCGCCGATGGTTCCTCACTGCTTCTCAAGGCCCGTATAAGTGCCAACGAAGGAATTTCTGAGATTTGGCAGATGTTTACGATTCATTATTGAACAGTGAACGTTACTGCATTTTTGGCTTCCTGGAATTGTGGCGTGTTCATTCTAGGCGACTCGAAATCGCTGTCTCCGTAATTTGGCGCACCCCGTATAATATGTAGAAGTTGCGAAAGTTCCGTTGATTGCAAGCCACACTAGACCATAAAAAGGCTTTTTTGAGATATTTCAATACAAAAACAATATAGTTCTCAGGCTTGAAGCTAAATATTTTATTAAACAGGCCCATAAGGTCCCCTTTCCTTTAACATATGTGAAATTCAATATGGTGTCAGGGAGGTTTTTTGTTTTTACAGGAGGTGTCAAACAGCAGTTCAGGCTAATTTATTCGATATGCTAAACTTTGGAGTAGTGCTCCATAGACCTGTAGGATCACTGAAGGACTGGAAAAAGGATGCATCAGTGAAAGCGCAGCACTGCCCATCATATTGGTCTCGAAGGATTTCATCGTGCAGGTGAAGGGAGTCATAAGTATGCACCTGCTGTTGATGACGCCCTTTCAAGTTTTTGTAGAAGGCAGTTTCGAACCATTTCTGCTGTAGCTAACAGTAGGGCTAGAGCGCACATCTAAGCACATCAGAACAAACGCACCTCCCAAATTTAAATGGTGAGAAAAAAAAGCTGAAAAAGTGGTACCCGCTTAGCTGACTGAGCATTAGCGAAGCCATCTTTCAGAAATGTCGTTTCGATAAGTTTACGCACCCAAAACCAGCATTTGAAATGTGTCGTCATCTAGAAGGAAAATAGACACTTTACGAGTAGAGGAAGCCATCTCTTCAATAGTTGACCGCGATGAATATTCGCAAAATTCTGTAAGGCCAAAATTGCAGAAGCACCTCTCGGAAACCACGTGAATTTGACACAACACCGATGTCTGTCCAGCATGACATGGCATGGTCCAGAAACACCAAGTTTGTCTATCGAGAGGATCAGATCAATCCTACGTTACGATGACGCTCGGCCACATGTCCCGTATACGACATCGCAAAAATCTAACAAACTAGCGGCGAAGCTACGCTTCACACGTCCAGCTCAATAGATCCCTATCAGTACTCCCTTTCCGGCCATCTCAACAACTTCTTGAATAAGAAATGCTAAGTAGTTGAAATTGATGTGGAAATGATGCTCAACGATACCATTGCCTCCAAAAGCGCTCCTTTTCACGTGTGCGGGCACATTACTGAATATCTTCCTAAGAAACCACTGTAGCTTCAAATAGATTTTTCGCTAACTTAAAATGTTGTACCAAAATGGAAATGTCTCTTCGAAAATAGAGATCAGAAACCTGCATTATGTACTTTCCAAGCAACCTAATACAAATATAATAATTCGCCGTGTGAATGTGTGTGTAGGTGTGTGATAGGTGTGTGTTCCTGTGTGTGTGTGGGTGTGTGGGTGTACGTAGGTGTGTTTAGGTGTGTATATAGTACGTGTCCTCCGTTCTCAAATTCGAAAATGAGCCGACTCCAGGAGGAAGTATTTCTGCTATTTGAATCTTCTTGTCCGATGCCTTTATAGTCATGAAACAAAAGAATTCCAATCTTCCTAGAAGTTTGCAGCTCCTTCAAAAGGTTTCTGAATATATGGTATTGTTTTGAAGCACTAAATTCAGTCAAGTAAGTCGCAAGACATGGATCCGTCATCCTAACTGGAAACAGCTGCTTCCAGGGGTTCTACTTTCTATACTCTTGAACGCCATTTTGATCACCGATATATCTGTCGTATTTTCCGAGAAAAACTTCTTCTCCCGCGTTGTAAACAGGATGTAACGGTTGATATATGCTGAACAGTCCGATGGCTTCGTACTTGATCTTCGTGATTTGCTGCATCACACCTTCGTTATTCGAACATCGGGTGCAGGGAGTTCTGCGCTGGCATTGTGGATCGTCTTCTCCGCTAATCTCGTTCATCGTTTCGACGGTCCGTTATAACTCCGAGATCACCAGCCCCTTCCAAACGGTCGCACTTGAAGCTGCAGTATTGGGGCTCTTTTGGATGTAAAGGAGTGAGGCCGATTACATTACTGCTGTTTTTGTCATGTGCTGTGCACACTACTAGCTTGCCAGGATCTGGCGTGGGGGTGGGTAGATTACAGCTAGTAAACGAAGCTATCCCAGAGTAGGAGATGGTATTTCTTTTAGGGCGAACCACCTCAATTGTTCTTTCTTATCATAGAATGCAAGCCTCTATCTTGGCAGTATCCGAGAAAAAAATAACACACAGAGAGCATCACGCAAAGTCAGAGCTATTTTTCTGATTAGTTATTTTGTAGAAACACTAGTTCACAGCTGACCAGTTTTGACGAAAATTACGTGATACTGCATCAATCAAGTATTAATACCGGAATACAATTCCCAGACATCGTTTTCTACAACCTTTCCTCGGGAAGGCTTCTAGATATGCGGTACGTGTAAGCACCAGTGGCAACTGCTCGAAACACTTTTTCTCTCTAATGATCATATCAGCTACTGTATCCGAAGAATTTCTTCTGCTCCGCCCAAGAAGTGGTGCTGTAATAGCTTTCTTCTGGGTTGTCGCAGTTACACAAAAGATACAAAAAATTAGCTTTTTTCTTTCGTAACTAACTCGGAATGGCGTTGTTCTGCTCTTGCGGTGGTGGACTGGGCCTTTGAGGAAGACGATCTCGTCGAAACGTCAGGCCACTAATAAAAATTCTTCACCTAACAACTTCGTTGGCAGAAGAATAGCAACATCATGATCATGAGCATTTTTTTATTCTAGGAGTTCGGTGATTTCCCGATGCTGAGTGAAGAAATATTTAACGAAACTCAGTTCAATGCAAAATTTAATTTGACATGGTTGCTTGCGCATTTTAACAGCAATCGAACGGTGCTTCATACAATCGTTCCTTCATTAAGAACAGGTCAAGGCAATAGAAGCTGCGATGCTAACCGTGAGTTCTTTCTTTGTGCTTTACCCATAATTAGCCGAACACAACTCACTGATCAGAATGACACGAGAATGCTTGCTGCAGGCATCATTGAGAATCGCGATTTACTCACTAGAGCTCTTTGAAGTGAAGGAGGTTTTGGTAACCAGTCCGTCAGT